ATATATTTTATTTTAATTTTGCTTCCCTATCTGTCCCCTACTTGTTACATCCAGTCCTTCTCAGGTAATAATAAACTTGTTTACTTACATGCCTTCTGTTGGCAGTGTCTGGCACTGCTGTGTTTAATGAGTAATAAGTTTTTCACAAAACTTGAAGCGCAAGTGCCATTTTATGCATCAGGAATGACTTTCCTTTAATGATCAGTTTTTGAGAAAATGATTCAGTTCATTGTTGCAGTGGGTTGTGTGAAGTTTAACTTAGAATATTAATAGAACTCTTTGCAAGATGACTGAGGGGCTTAGGCTGTGAGGTAGTAGAATGCATGCTTGCTGAATCACGTCTATTAAAACGAAAGGAAGAATGATCGCACTTTAAGCCTAGCAGAGAAAAAGATCATCTTAATTCTCTATTGCAAAAAAAGTCTTTGCTCAAAATATATGACTTGCCTATACAATTCTAAGCATGTTGTAGTGTATGTTGATGGAATGGTGCCTGAAAACATCCATTACTCTACCGCTTTTTGCAGACTGTTGCATTTTTCTAGGAAAAGTTATTGTATTATGTTTCCAAGCAGGCTGTAAAACATGGCAGCCTGCCCTCTCTGCCTATTTTTTCCCATTTCCAAAACTAAAAAAACCTAAATTATTTATTTCATACAAGGCTTTTAAAAAGATAGGTAATGTGCAATAACTGGCTTCTGAGTTTGTTCAAATAGGTCAGATGGCTTAATTATTTACCCGTGTATCTGTTTGACTATGACATCTAAACCAGTTCTTGTGCCTGGTCTGGTGTGTCTTGCATGGTGACTCTCAAGATATATCAAGCTCAATATGTAGAGCTGTTTAAAGACCAGAAACCTGATTTTTTTTGTTTGTTTGTTTGTGTGGAGAACACTGATAATATCACATTTTTGTTTCTACATCCTCATGGATAGCAGTGTCATCCTCTGTGTACTGGAGCCAATGGAACTCTTCTCTCTTACACCCAATGTGAACCCTGCCCTTAGTGACTTAGATTTGTGACTGGTAAGTGTTACTCAAGGAATGGGACAAAATGCCTATTGACTTAATAATGGCAGTTCAGTTGTGTATCTTGCTAAGCTACACTGACTTAAGTGGACTGAAACATTTGCAGTCTCCCAGAAGACTGTAGTACAAAAATAATGGATACCTGGTTTGTTTCTGTGCCTGGTACAGATCTAGTGCAGTGCTGATAGATTAGACCTAAATAATGTGCTTTAAAATTGAATCTTGCTTTTAAAATCTTCCTTCAGAGAAGGAGGGGAAGTTGGAATGGGAGTTTATTTTATGTAGGAGTTCATTTCTGCTTAATGAATGGTGCTTAAGATATGAGGACATGTGGTCGTGCTTCCTTCTGAGGTATTGGTGTTAGCAGAGTTTGTTTTCTCTAGCCTTAAATCTTAAGATGTGGTTCCCTGAATCTGCACTCATTCTTTAACAGTCCTTAGAACTTCACAGTCCAGCCATCAGTTTTTAGGACCTTGTGAGCAGTACTGGATAATTTCAGTAGCTTCACTTTATTGGTGAGGCTCTGGGCTTCCTGTTCTAAATTCTGTAGGTGTAAGAAAATATGAACAACGTGATCTCATGTAGATCCATAGTCTACTGCGGCTAAACTATTTCTGCAACCCAAGTTAATTATCTTAATCCAATGCTGTTATTCTTTTCACTAAATTGCAGCTGTCTGAAGACCATGAGTACAGTTTTCTTTAACCTCCTGGAACCCAGAGTCCCTTCTCTTGTAAGTAAGTCATGAGCAGCCTATTTTTGAGGAAGGCTGTACTGACTTTTCATGCTCGCATGGACTCCTCTCCCTAAAACAAACTTCACTCTTGCTTCTCGTAACTTCTGTGTATGTTTCTACATACTGTGTGTTGCCCTTTGGAGACAATATGTCCTCCTGCTAAAGAGGCAGTTATCCTGCATACCACTCTAGTGGATTACCTCTCCAGAAAAATGTGACTTAAACCTCAGCCGAAATCAGTTTGTAAAATCGTGTAGTACCAGCTCCGTGTTCTCTCTGCTTCTACAGTGCACATGCATATATTTTCTAAGTGTCTGAGGGAAACTACACAGCCAGTTGCCTGCTGCAAAAACTACCAAAGTATCATAGCAGAATGTCTCCAGCTGACCGTAACAGCGATGTTGTCATGCCTCTCAGGTCCTTCTCGCAGAAAGGTTTGGGGTTGCCCTGCTCTGCGTGCCTTTTGCAGGCGGGCAGAGGGACACAGCGCAGTCAGCTCTTGCTGCGCATTCCAGATGCTCCTGCAGAGCGTCCATGCATGCCTTGAATATGTGCAGTCTCTGAGATTGCAAATGGTGTAGAGCTTTACCTACACAAAAGCTTTAAATGCAATTTGAAGTCAGCATGCTCACTGGGGCCATTCGTAGCAACCACTGCAAATAGTCTTGAGATCATTTCTTAGTTCCATCATTCGCTGCTTAAAAATTATTTGGGCTACCCACCCCATAATATGGGAGTGAAGGCACCTTTGGGATTTTCAGTGCTTTTTGCAGTGAAAATTGAATGATGCTTGGTTTCTTTTAGAGGAGACTGTGAAGCATCTGGCTGGGGCAAAAGCAGCGTGTAGATTGTGCGAGGAGTGCGGTCAGATTCTCCTGCTTTGGCTGCATTGGAGTTCCAGTGCAACAACTGCTGGACATAAACAGCTGCTGAGATATCTCGTTTTCCTGTTTCCCACAAAGGAAAAAACAGCAGCTGGCTCTGAAATGTCTGAGATGATTTAAATGAGTTCCTGGTTATTTCTACAGATATCTTCAGTTTCATCAACAAAGTGCTAAGTGAGAAGGGAGGACTGACCCTAAACTATCCATTTTATTAAAAAAGACTATTTCTTACATTTTTTGTTAATGCTTCTACCCTCAATCCTGGCCCTAGAGGAGAAAAATGTGTCAATGCCGCAAGATGGCATACTAGAAATGCCATCCGGCTGAGAATTTTTGGGACAGGGAGGCTGCTGGTACTTCCACAAACCTGTGTTTGAATCTTCCTTATCTTGCTTTATGGTCACGTGAGGTGAAAAAAGGTAAGAATATTTAGCATCAATACTTTGGCCACTTCTGGAATAGCAAAGCTGTTGGTGACTTTTTAATTATCCCGTGATTTTTTCATGTTAAGATCTTATTAGCATCTGCAAAAGTACATTACAGTATCAGTTCTGGGGGCTGCAGCTTGCTATTTTGGAAACAGAATTGTTTTGGATTGCAAGCTATAAAAGGGCTGCAAGTGTGTCTTCAAAGCTGGAATGAATTGCAGATGAAACCCATAGTGAAGAATAAAAAAGAAATATTTTTAAATGGTACTGTAAAAGTAATGCTTCCAGGACAGGGGTTGTGTCTTAGGAGGATGGGTTTGGTGGGCTTTTATTTTTCCTTTTCAAATTTTTTTCTCCCTTAAATAATTTGCATACACCTAAATCTGAGAAAGAGTATTTACTGAGGGCAAATTAATGTCTCTGTTTTGATAGTTGATTCACACAGGAGGAAGGATGAAGAGTAGCTGGGATGGGGATGGAGAATGGCAGGAAATTATAAAATTTCCGGACTGTACAAAATCGCTCGAGCTCTGTCTTGCCAGCTTTAGAAATATCTGCATTTTGTGACTTCTACTTTTATAACGGCTCTGTTCAGAGACGCCGTAGCCAGGGTCCTCTCAGTGATGAAGTTGCATCGCTTACTGACGTCCACTACATGTCTTCCTCCTCTGTGGAGAGGGATGTGCAGTGGAGTTCTGGGTTTGGAAGGTAAAGGAGGTATACGTGTTTGTGTGTGTTCAAAATATCTGCCCTTGCATGTTTGTGTTGGTAAAGGCTGAAGTAGTACACTTACAGTGGGAACAGGAGGTGGTGAGTTTTTATAAGGAGAATTGATTTGTCATGGCACTCACTCTATAGTTGTGGACCATAGGGTAATTTTGCCTCTGACATAGAGCAGTTTTACCCTGGCTGTAATGAGTTACTTTTGTTACCAAGTTGTCACCAGCATCTTTGTTTCAGACTTCAAGTGACTTTGTTGTTTTTTTAAGGGAGTCTAAACTCAACATGTGTCTTAGCCTTTATTTTTAAGGAAGTTTTAGAAAGCTTTCTTTTTCTTAAAGGTAGTAAATTTATACATTGGCTGTTTAAGTGCATTTGGTACGTAATCTCTTTTAACAGGATATTTTTATATTTTCTGTTTTACTGATTCATTTTTTCTTTTCTAGAAGACTTAATACTGAACTTTCTTACTTTTTAATTCAAATTTTTTTATACCTTACCGTCTTAGGATGAATATTTAAACAACAATCTTCAGTCTTGCTTCAAAATGTCCCTGTGTGCATCTTCTCACAAGGACTTTTCTCAGTTGCTGCCACTTCAGGATATTGGATGCAATAAAACAGAAATTAAAAACTCAACCGCTGGTATCGTCTCTCCAGTTCCCTACAGCTGTAATCAGTCCACGTTGACAGCAGAACACAGTCCAGTCTATATTCCCTCATCTTACATGGAAAACAGACATGAATATTCTGCAATGGCTTTCTGCAGTCCTGCTATGATGAATTACAACATTACGAGCAATTTTGGTGATTCAGAGGGTGCATCTGTGAGGCAAACGTCGAGCCCCAATGTGTTATGGTCTGCTCCTGGCCATCTCTCCCCTCTGACATTGCACTGCCATTCGTCGCTTCTGTATGCAGAGCAGCCCAAGAGCCCGTGGTGCGAAGCAAGACCGATGGAGCCAGTGCTACCTGTGACCAGGTCAGTACTACTCATTTCTTTAAAACTTTGCTGAAAATTATTTACAGTTTCTTTAGTTCTTTTAAGTCTTTTCTTTTTCCATTTGACTTCTATGTGTCGGTCTCTCTGAAAAACAAGACAAGACCAAAAAACCTCCACCAAACACCAAATCAGTCCTGGGGTTTGTGTGTTTTTAAATGTAACTTCTGAGATAGGATTTCTTTTTCAATAGCTCCTTAGAGAACTACACACCGACACAAAGCATTGCAAATGCCTTCAATGTGGAAACTGTTTACTGTGTATAAACAAAAGTTCAAGACTGCTCGGTACTACTTTGTGTAATAAAAATCAAGTCCTTTGAGTGAAAGAAGTAAAGGTTCATTCTTTTTTCCTTTTCATACGACATTGTTTAAGTTCCATTTTATCTGGATTTCTTTTAACTGCATCTAATACTTGTGAAGTCTTTTCATGAACTTAGAATTCAAGGGAAATGTTTTCTTTGTTTTTTGGTTTTAGTATTGTCGCGGCTTAACTCCAGCTGGCAACTAAGCGCCACAGAGCCGCTCGCGCACTCCCCCCCAGTGGGATGGGGGAGAGAATCGGAAGGGTAGAAGTGAGAAAACTCATGGGTTGAGATAAAGAGAGTTTAATAGGTAAAGCAAAAGCCACGCACGCAAGCAAAGCAAAACAAGGAATTCATTCACTGCTTCCCACGGGCAGGCAGGTGCTCAGCCATCTCCAGGAAAGCAGGGCTCCATCACGCGTAACGGTGACTTGGGCAGACAAACGCCATCACTCCCAACGTCCCCCCCTTCCTTCTTCTTCCCCCAGCTCTATGTGCTGAGCATGGCGCCATACGGTGTGGGACACCCCTTGGGTCAGGGGGGGTCAGCTGTCCCGGCTGGGTCCCCTCCCAACTCCTTGTGCACCCCAGCCGCTCGCTGCTGGCGTGGGGTGAGGAGCAGAAAAGGCCTTGACCCTGTGTGAGCACTGCTCAGCAGTAACGAAAACATCCCTGTGCTATCAACGCTGCTTTCAGCACAGATCCATAATATAGCTCCATACTACTATGAAGAAAATTAGCCCTATCCCAGCCCAAACCAGCACAAGTATTAACAGTCAAACAGCAGCATGCATCACGTTCAAAAGGGTGCTGAAAAGTCTGACTTTGTTTCTTGTTGCTGTTCTCAGCTGACTTTCTGAAGGCATTGTGAACAGCAGATTCATGGGCTAAATTTTCAGCTGTAAAGAAACTGTATTTGCAAAAACATGCTTCCATTCTGCACATTTACTCATATTACAAACCATAAGCGGCGTGTAGGTCATCAGCTGATGAAATTACTTCATTCATGGGCACAACAGCTGTTGGATGGGTAAAAGCACAGGGTGTTGCAGGTGCCGTTCCTGTTTTAGCAGCTGCATGTTTATCCATAGGGCTCCTTATTTAACTTCAGCAGTCATTGTCAGTATGAAAAATAGTGTGTCCTGGCAACAATTTTAGTTCGATTGTTAATAAAGGATTTGTGCTATTTTTGAGACTACCCACGTTCCTTCTGCAATGGGCGGGCCTTATGTTGACTGCGCAGGGCTACGGGTTGAGATCTACGTCTGCTTCAGACTTGTAGGCTGTGGAGAACTTCAGCCCGGCCATCTGACCAGTCTCTATTTGGAGTCAGCAGAGAGCAGCAGGCAGTTCTGGAGTGCAAATCTACTTCAGTGTAGGTGTGTGGATTGGGAGAGGCCCTTTGGGTACCACATATATAGAAGAATTCCCCAAGCAGGTCTAATGCGAATAGGGCTAACATCCAAACTCTTCCCACTTTGGTTAATGTTTCGGAACATTGACGGCCCTGGCAAAGCTGGTGTATGTTAGTGTTTGACGCTGTCCAGACGATGGGACAGCAGCTGGAATAACCCAAGGGCAAGAGCACCCCATCTGATGCTCTGCAGCATGCTCTCTATATAGAGAGAAGCCAAACCTGCCACACGGGCGTTTAAGTAAATAAGTCTTCTGCCATTTGTATCGATTCATACAGACTATTGCTCTTGTAGCTGCTCTTGTAGCCAACTTAAAGAGGAGAAATGAAATCTGGAGTCTAAATTTACGGATGATCTTTATTGTTCAGCAGCAAGTAACTACCGTGTTTCTTGGTAGGTGGAGCTTCTCAGTGGTTCATTTGTCTCAGTATGATGCATTGTAACCTCCACTTTGTGTATAGGAGTTCTGAAAAAGAAAAAAAAAATAATTTGACACGGAAACACAAAAAGCAAGAGCTGTGATTCCCTTATTGTGGATATCTGTCCTGAAATAAGACTGTAAAGCAAAAAAAGCCCTGTGTTTCCTTTTGCTTTATCCTTTGGTGAGGTCTTAAATTAATGTCATGAACATTATATTTATTGCCATGGGAACAATGACTGTGACACTACAGATTCGTAGATTATACCTTGAAGGAAGAGTTCTTGGGATTGAAACTTAAAGGAATAGCTCTGGGGGCAGGGAGAGACTAATGCTGTAAGTGTAAGCAATTTTAAACAGCATCGTAGTTTGAGGAAAGGGATTTTGTTTGAAACATGAGTAAAAAAGCATTGCTACATGTGCAGGCCTGTCACACAGTTTATTTTACCTTTCAAAATAAAGCAAGAGTCTCACTGTGAGAGGATTTTATTTTCCCTGGGTGTAAATTTCCGTTAACATTAGCTAAACTAATGTGGTCCACTTTGCTAAAGCTGATCGCTGTGTAATGTGGATCTCCTTGCAGATCAGCTTAAAATAAGGAACCTGAATTCTCGACATTCCCTTTCCTCACAAATGGGTTCATTATAGGAATACAGAAGAAATTTATTTAACTTTGTTAAATGCAAATGTTATGCAGTGTAGGGTTACTTTGCACCAATAGTTCAACAAAAATGACTGTATGCCATGTAAAAATAGATTTCAATTTTTAGAGTGCCATTTTTTCCTACAAAATGGCAATATTTTGGTGATAAAGATGCTGTTATATTTATTTGCATTATAGGTCCTGAACCTAGTGAAGAAAATAGAAACGGTCTCATAAATTTTGTTGGTACAGGATAACTCAATTTATGTTAAAATTACATGAAGAGAAAATAAACGTGACAGTGTAATTATATTATTTTTAAAAGTAGTGTGAAATTGATTTCTGTCCTCATCCCTTAAATAAAAGAATTTTAATTAAAGAAACCAAAGGTTTCTTTTCAAAATGAACAAATATATTACTTTCTAAAAAGTATTAGGAAACCTTAACGAGGTTGCCAGAATGATGTTTCTGGAACTTAATATGTTATTCTTCTCTATTATTTTCCTTGTGCTTCTGACCAATTGCAGGTAGACCGTGTAAGTAAAGGTTTTGGGTACGCAGGCTAGCAATACTTGCTTAATTAGAAATTATTTAGTAACTTTGTTTTGTTCAATGTGCACTAATATCATATTTATACATTGCTTAAACTCTGCTCTAAAGCCGTAATTATTTCCATTATTCTTCTCTGCTTTTTTTATTGTGCTCATTCTGCAGAGCACTTAAAAGCATCTTGAAGTCTCTTTGAGGTGATGGGTTGGCATTTCTATTTTATGATGGAAAAGTTACAGAGATTAAGCAAAAATATGTTCCTTAATTTCGAGATATCTATGACATGCTTTTCGCACATTAATCAGTGTTTGGAGCGTAGCAGAACCTGTGCTTTGGAGATATGAATATTGACTGTTGTGTGGTATTAAGAATTCCAGAAGTTATAGTGGAGGGAGTCTCTGGAAAATGAGGAAGAGAAAGATTGAAAAGTATTCTTTAGGTGATTTTTTTGCCCATCATCTTGCACACATTCTGGCAGAGAAAGGCAGAACATTCTTCATCCTACAGCTTAGGCTTGTATGGGATTGAATTATCTCCAGGCACTGAATGAGCCAGTGGCCTGTGGGAGGCAGGGAAGAGTTATAAGAAATTATAAAATCTGGACTATTAATTTTTGACTTAATGGATTTTTTTTTTATTATTTTCTCAGTGGTTTTTTTTCTCTCTCTCTTTTTATAATGTACAATAGTTTAAGCTTTAAAAAAACCTGACAGACAACAAATGCCATGAGCAGCAAATCTTGCTACTTTCTAGGTCAAATCCTTGCCACCCTTCTTCATTTTTAATAAAAAGTTGAATTTAGGTTCAAGTTTTCCAGGTGTGGCGTATGCATCAGAAACTCCCTGTGGCAAAACTAGAGGTAATTAGGAGACAGGATAGATACTGAATAACCCAAATGGTCTTGCTAATTCCTTCTACTTTCAGGTAATCATCTCGTCACTGTTGATGACTGGTAGGAAATGACTGACTTGTTACTTTCAAAAAAATCTTAATTCTTTTTATGGAAACATAATATCCCTATATAGAAACCATGATCATAAAATAGAGAGGAGTATCAGGGGGTGTTAAGCAATAAATCTTTGTCCCGGTGGTTCCTCAGTAGCAGCCAGGGTACATCCCCCCCACTTTCCCGCATCCTTCGGCGCGGGAGCTTTGTGGGCATGCAGCCAGCTGCCGCCAGTTCTTCTGGAGCACCCGGCAGCTCGCGCATCTGCTGAGCGTGCTGGAGTGCACCAGTCCCCAGGGCGCGGGGAAGTGGTCTCTAACCACGTGTGGGGCTACCCACTCCGGTTTGCTGTTTGGGTGGATGCGCTGTCCGATGGCGAGGTTCTCGGCGTAAGGAACGTGTACCTTAAAGCTCCGGGCTATTTCCTAGTTGTCCTTAAAAACAACAGTAACAAAGCGATTGGGTTTGAACCTCCTGCGGCGCTGCTGCAGCTATTGCAGATGAGCAGATTTGATGCCTGTTCGGCCTGCAGGAGGAATTTGTTCCAGATTGTTGCTCTGTGTGCAAGCTGTTTGCCACAGTCTGTGGAAGTCACGCAGCTCGTATGTGTGCAGGGCGACTCTGGTTAAACTTTTAAGCAGGGAAAGAAAAAGTGCTTTTTAAAACGCTTTTCATGACTGGAAGGTAAAAACCAACACTCCTCAGTGAGATGTTACAGTGTGTGCTTTTTCTTTATTTTCATCCATAACATCTCGGTGCTTTAACGAGGGCAGTAAACATCGCTCTCTACAGCATATCAATCAGACACTGAGATGCTCTCTAGCTGATTTTGATTCTCTTCTGACTCTGACAATTAGATCATGATTCCCAAGTAGAGCTTAAAAATATACTTCTTCTACTAATGTGAAATGCCGAATTACTTTTTCTTCCAAATACAGGGAAAGAGGAAGGAATAGCAATGCTTTTTCTTCCTTGCATTAGCAGCATATTAGGCGTGTGCGGTTCAGTCCCTTTATTCGAAGGGAGAATTCCCCCACACTGCTCTTCCCACCACGGCAGAACGGGAAACAACTTAGTGATTCAGCGATCCATTAACGTGTGTGTGTAATCAAAGACTGGGCTTGTTAAACATCCAAACACGCTTATGCCCTGCAACATCTGAATGAATGAACATTTTTTTAAAAGCTTGCAGTAATGTAATTGTACAAAAATCCCCTCAAGTTTTCTATTTTGGAATTTGCTCAAAGAACCACCTTTTTTCCTTTCCAAATTTTCTACTAGGAAATTGGAGCAGGTTCTCCTCAAATACTTATAAACATGATGATTTTTAGTTGGCATGTGGGTGTGTTTGTCCTTACCTCCTGTCATGAAACCAGCACAAAGTCTACTTTTAATATGTTGGTTAAAGCCTCTTTGACAGCACTTTCAGCATGTGTCTACCGTTCTGTTTAAACTTCCTCTTGGTGAACAGGTTTCTTCTGCCCTGGCAACGTACCCTTGTTCTTTAGAAGTCATGAACCATGCTGCCTGCTGCCTTATCCCAACTGGTATTTCCTCTCCTCCCTAATTCTGCTGGAAGATGGAGGAAAATTCTGCAATTTCTCACTTCTGCGTCTGTGCTTATTATATACCTATAAGTTTATACCTATAAGCTTTCCTTTTGTCAAACTGCTGCTGAGAGTTTGCACATGACACTATTTTCTCTCTATCTAGAAATTGTATTGACCATGAAGGTAAGGCATGCTAAAACCACCAAGAAAATGAGGTCCAGAGAAAAAGTACACAATGGATGTGCCTCCTATACCTAAAAAACACTTTACTGCTAATCTAAGTTCCTTTCCTCTTGCTGTTTGTTTACAGGTTCTTAGAGTCAGGAATTGGCTGTTATTTCATGTTTTTATCCTGTTCTAATTTTGATCCAGTCACTAAGAATAGTTCCAGTAAGTTGCAGCACTTCAGGAATGCATATACCTTATTAATTTATATGCAGCAATAATTTTTTTATGTATGAAAGTATTTTATTAATTGTGTTTCTCCATTCTTCTTGTATTCAGACTTCCTTTTATTTAGCATTAAGTTGATCAATGTGGGTCATCACCTTGAACAGAAAGCTTTGTCTAACGTTGTGAGTTGATCTTGTAGGCTGAGATTCACATTTCAAGATATGTCTCCAGCATCTCATTGAATGAATAAGGGCTCATTTAAAGGATGAAATACTTGAGACTAGATGTGTATCGCTCCATCTAGAATTTTGCCTTGCTAACAGTACAAAGCAACTGCAGCTCTGTCCGTGGTAGTGTTTATCATGTCAGTCCAAGCTGTCTGAGTTCACATTCTCTATATGAAGCTTCCCAAAGGCAAAGTCCACTTGGTTCACAAATTCCTGGACTTGTACATTTCCAAGAATTCTTCAAGACCCATCAGCATTCCATCTAATTTTCCCAGAATTCCTGTGAATGACACATCAGCAGTCCAGTTTTATGCCTTTGAGTATTTTAAAATGTTATAGCCTGTCAGCATTGAAAGCTCTGGGATCAGACTATAGGCTTTAAATAACCTTATCAGAAAAAGGCTTAACGGTGTTTCACACTGTCCCGTGTTCAGTAATAAGAAGACTCTACAGAGAGAGAATAGAAGACAATGGAAAATAATGAAACTCTGCAATGTAGATTAATTTTTTCCTTGGTTATAACAGATGTTTTTCTTTTCTATCAGAGAAACGTTAAAAAGAAAAACTAATGGCAATGACTGTACAAGCCCAATTGCAAATAATCCTGGCTCAAAAAGGGATGCCCACTTCTGTGCAGTCTGCAGTGACTATGCTTCAGGATACCACTATGGGGTCTGGTCATGTGAAGGCTGCAAAGCATTCTTTAAAAGAAGTATTCAAGGTAGGAGAATCAGCTTTTGATAACTTTGCTGAAATAAGTTGTTTCATATGATGAGGGGCTGCAGCGGTTGATCTAGTAATGAGTTGATCTAAAATCCTGGTGTATGGTGCAGCATGCTGAAAGTAGAGCAACACAGGATTTGACTATCTTTTGGCTCTCACGTTATCCAGATCTGGAAACATTACAAAGTGAACAATTGATTTCTTTAGAGAAGAGCTGGAGTACATAGCACGGGAAGGCTCTGCAGCAAAGGCCTTGGTGGGGTGGCACCGCAGACCTGTGAATCTCATTGCAGTTTGTGTCCCAAAGTAGACATAGTAACTGGGAATTTGTTATAACAGACACAGCTAGAATAGATAATTGCCTGGAGACTTTGCTTGCCAGGAACTATTCTTGACAAGAGTATATTGCCTGCAGCTGTTGAGTCATAGCATATAATATCTACGCAGTATGTAGGATATAAAAATATGTGTTGCAAGTATTAGGTAAAAACCTGATTATTGTTATTTCTCAGTCCTCTACCCCCCAGAGCCTACATTGCAGTATTTCTTACTCTGCCAGACCTCTCTATCTAAGATTTCCACTTCAGTGTTTAAATTCTTAAATATTTGGTATTTAGTTCAAATTTGCTGAGTGGCTGCAGTATGAAGTACAAGTAGGTCTCCATGTTTGTTATTACAGCCTATGGGCAGCGGCTTATGCACCATATTGCACCTTTGGACCACTTAATTTCTTTAACCTTGGCTCTAGTTATCATGCTCTTTGGCCTCATCTGGGGCCTCTTGGTGGAAACTTAATTGGATTGATATTGGACACTATGTGCCGATACTAACACAGAAAATCCTGTCATTTTTCGGCCTGTCATGTTCCCTTCCTCTTCTGCACACAAAGCCTTTAGCAATCTTGAGGTATTTTCTTTTGGATCAAAGTTGGTGTCACCATTAGAATCAAATTTAATTCAAAACTTGTTTGCCTTTTCAATTTATTGTGCAAGTTCTGCATGGGTGAATAACAATTTCTATAAACTGGTGCAAGTTCTTTTGATTTCTAAAATAATTGAAGAGAACTTTGTCTCCACTTTGACACAAATTGAGACTGAATTTGACCTCAAAGCATTTTTCTGTCAGGAAAATTATTTGCCTGCTCTGCGTTACTCACATGTGCTTTGGCTGTGAACAAGTTACCCATTGTGGCCTTTTGTACACCTTAATGTACCCTGTCAGGTAACGTTTGTTCGCAATTCAAATAAATGAAAGTAAGTTCTTGGCATAAAACACTATCAAGCACTCAGTTGCAACTGTTGTTATGAAGGATATTGCTTATAAAAATAAAAAACTTCTGGGCCTACCAGAGACCAAAATGTTGGGCTAATGTCTAATTAAAATTAGATGGTATGACTGAGCAACTGTGTGTGGTCTCCTCTGCTTGTCCAAGTTTGTAGCGTAGTGTATTCATCCCACATTTCTGAACATCTGCCTGCAAGCTAAATTATCCCAAGGCCACAGGAGTTTTAAACAACTTTATGCTCCTGTGTGCTTGGGTTATAGTGCAACAGAGAGCTTCCTCCTCCTTTCCCCCCATGTTGTGTGAAGAGTGATAAACAGTAATTTGTTTTTCAGTCATATCTGGCAGTAGGAAATGGGACAGACTGTAACCTGATCTCTTCTTTTTAAAATTGTCAGTTCAAAAATTCAAGGTTAAAATTATTTTAATTTTGCAAGGAAATAGTCACAATGGTTCAGTTAAATAATTACTCTTGGGGACATGAACTTTTGGACTTGCATCAAGTAAAAAAAACTCTAGTAGCTGTATCTTTGCCTGATCTATTCTTAAAGTTTGAAAAAATAACTTAAACAACCTGAGAGAAAAGACATTAAGAAATGTAAATGAGTGAATATTTTTTGCATTCTTTGGTAACTACTGCAAGAGAAATTTCCAGTATTTGGCAGTATATCCAGGAGACAATTTGACTGTATTTACACCAAAAGCATACTCAAGTCCAGTTTACAGTAATAAACCTTTGGACCAGATTATTGATTAATGAAATACAATAACGTGAAGGGGTTTGGGTGGGGGCGAGGTGAGGTGGGAGAGAAGGAGAAGACAGCAGAAGAGGATGTAGTGGAAACTGATGTAAATAAGAGAAACACTTGTCCACAATATGTGAAAGTTATACCTTCTGCTTGTGCTTTTCTTTATACTACACAGTATGCATTCATTTATACTAGTTTTCTTTCTTGAGGTGCTTTTTTTTATTAACTTTGGTCCAGGGTCAATCCTCCAAAGGCTTCTTCATTCCTGGAACTCATCACGTCAGAGAGTTCAGTAAATAGAGCTGTAGTTTACTTAAATCTTTGCAGGACTGAAGCTATGTGCACTGCTGTTTTCAGCTCTGCTGAGGAAAAAATAATCTACTATCTGCCATCTGTAGAGTCCCAATATACAGTAAGAAGTTGGAGGCTGGGAGCAAATTTCCCAAGAGCACATGTCCCATTTTCAAAAATTAGTTGGTATTAGAAGGTGCTTGGTTATCTAACAGCCATCAGTAAAAGCCAGGCTATGTTGTCTGGTTACTTTTTGAGGCCACAGATTGATGTTTTCAGTATAGGATAAATACGCATTTTTGCATCAGTTAAATTAGTGGAGCTTAGGTGTATGCATATGAAAAAGCTGAGATGCTTAAAATCAAGAAGGTCCTGATTTGGGAAATGAGTGGAGACTGCTGGAGATGTTAAATTTTCTCTTCTTACTCTGCTGCAGGACATAACGATTACATCTGCCCAGCTACCAATCAATGCACAATAGACAAAAACAGGCGCAAAAGCTGCCAGGCATGCCGGCTACGGAAATGTTATGAAGTGGGAATGATGAAATGTGGTGAGTTTTGCATGTCTGTGTTGTTTGCTTGGGTTTTGCTGGCTTTTTTTTTTCCCTCCTTCAGTCAATTCTGTATAGGGGGTTTTTTTTGCTTTTTTTTTTTTTTTGCTTTTATTTTTTCTTAGAATCCTGAAAAGGCACAACAGGCAATTAGAGCAAAGTTTAAGCTGGTTTTATAGGAAGGAATGTACCAGTTCTTAAAGCAGGAGGCGACTTTTAATTTTCAGAAGAAAACCTGTGGGAAGGAGTAAGGTGTAGGTTAAGCACGTGAAAACCATAGTACCTCTGCAGAGCTCTGTAAAGGCAGTTTACTTGCATGCTGTGTTCTGCAGAATGGGTAGCCAAGACCTGCTGCTGCCTGAACCTCAAACCAAACTGAAATCCCATCTAATATGGGATAAATGAGTCTGTACTGGGCTCTGCTGGTTGAATGTAATGCAAGAACAGCAGTGCCCATCAAAGCAGTAGTTAATTAACCCAGTATCCTGCCTCCAACAGTGGCAAGAGTGAATGCCTCGGGAGGAGTGTAAGAGTGAGACTAGCACCTACGTGGAAGTACTGCCAACAGCTCTCAGCTTCCAAAAATTAGCAGTTGGGCACTTCTGGTCTACAAGAGGTCTCTTCTATTTAATAGGTCTTCATATATTAATAGAATGGCAACTTTTTTGTTGGCCCTCTCTTTAATCCTGTAAAGTCTTAGTGTCTACAACATCCCATAGCAGCTTGCCCACCGGTCATGTACAGATCCAGCTCTCTGGTTGCCAGGCTTTTTGTGGGACTTTGGTGGGGCAGTGAGGGGAAGGCAGTGGGTGGGCTGTTCTTTTTCTGAACAGGCTGTTTTCATATGATGCCCTCCAGCTATTCCACCAAAAGTAGTGAACAACCACTGTTTGCACCGCACCACTCAGAATTATCCAACTTTTTCTCTTATTCCTATCTTGTACTTACAGTGATGTGACTTCACTGTAGTTGTACATTTATAGATGATATTTTAAAGGTTATTTTTAAGAAGAAAATAACTTAAAAGATGTTTCAATATCTAATGTACTTTCACAGTCAAGGTTTGTTGTTGTTTCTTATAGATTCCCCAATGCACACGGTAGAAACAGGCTGGGAAAACATCACATAGGAACACCAGAGTGGAAAGGAGAAGGTCACTGTGCTTGGTCCTCTGTGATTTGCAGGCGTGCATCTCATTTCATCCCATTTAATGTAGATACCTATTTCTATTTCAAAGCTAGGCAGTGTTTTCATCCTCCCACTGCTTTGATCTGAAGGCTGTTTGCAGAATATTATTTCTTTCATTAGGAACATTTGTTAGAATTCCAGCCTGCATTTATTGCTGGACAATTAATGCCCATTTGTTCTTGTGGCAACATTGTCTTGTAGCTTAGAGGCTCCTCTTCTCTTTATTGTTAATGGTTGGCATGTATTTCCGGACTATATCGTATCCCCTCACAAGCTTTGTTTTATTAGGCTAAATAAATGAAGAAATCTCCTCCTCTTGCAAAATAGGAAGGCAGACAGAATCTGGAAGGTGTCGGGGTACCTTGTCCCTCAATCTGCTCCAGGCTGAAATAATCCTTTTTGCACTGGGATGACCAGAATCATGGACAGTATCCCTGCGAACTCTCCTCGCTGTAGTAGCATTAATACATATCTGTTTCCGTGGGAGCTTTTCTCTGCCTACAACCCAGGATCCTATTCGCCTTTTTCAAGGTTGCATCACGCTGGCAGTTCATAATCGTTCTATGATCTGTTATGACTGCAGCCTCCCTGTTCATTTCTAGCTGATAAGTCCCAGCTTAGAGCTACAATTTCAATTGTGCCTTGTATTATTTTTGTACTCCTGAAGTACATTTAGTTTCTGTTGCTCAAGTCAGCTAGTTCCTTCTATATGAAGCACCTATCTTCTTCTGCACCGATGACGCATCTCCAACTCTATTGGTGTTTTTCGTTAATATGGTCTTAGCCACCTTTGCTGTCTGGCCTCCAGAAAGGAAAGCCTTACCCCTGCACACGAGACTCCTTTTGAAACCTTACTTTCTGAATGGTGTCGCTGCCTTTTGATCATCTTTACGACTGAGGATTTTACTCAAAGTTTTTCCAACAGGGGTTTCTATCAAGCCCCAGTTCTGGAATTGGAGACTTTTTGTAGAGATTGATTCCACTATGGTATTATAAGGTGGTCCTCCACAACGCTTTCTTTAAATTAATCCTTTTATTCTAATTGTCCAGGAAGTCCTGGTTTGTGATTAGACCTCAGAGGCACTATGGTATTACAAGTAATAAAAAGTAATATATACTTATGTCTTAGCCTGTGTTCCTTTTAATCTTGTCACATATTCATAAACATATTTCTCTACAATAATGAAGTTTTATAGGACATTAATGACTGTGCCAGCCCAAAAATGACACTTTGAAAGTGGAACAGGAAAATAACAGGAACTGTATTTTTAAAAAATTAGGTTTTTAAATAGCAGCACTGAAATTTGAGACTCTTGAGAATTTAATTTGAGAGTCTTAACAATTTAATTTCAGAAAAAGGAATATAAAAAACACTCAGAATTGTCTGAGTTGCCTGATGAGTTAAGTGGCACCTGTGAGTAAAGCTGATGCATGGACACATGGTGACAGACATTTAAACCAGACAGCTTTTAAGACTGTATTTCTTCCATGAAGTGTAAATGCCATTTCCTGCAGACCAGAGTGATTATCTTTCACATTTTTTTCTCTTTTTAATGAAGACTTTTCCCCATCTCTGGTTCTTTCCCAGGTTACTTAGTGAATGCATTGGTTCACATCTGCTAAAACCCTGGACAGGATAGAATGGTTTGTAAGTGCATTTTTGCTCAGTGGAAACGACTTGTGCAGCAGAAGTGAGAAAAGAACTTCAATTACCACTTTGTAGTTTATGAAAGCTCTGCACTGTTTACATCAAATCCTTAAATCCTCATTTTGCATACTATCAATAGACACCTTGAGGAAAAATACACATATATATGTATGCCTGTATATATAGCATACGTTTCTGCGTGCAAACGTGATTAGGCAGTACATGCCATCTTGAAAACAGTAGGAGGCTGTAGGAAGGTGTTGCTTTGGAGTTTCCTGGTCTGACATTCCCTTGGATGTCATCGCATTCATAAACGTGGAGAAATCAACCCAGCAAGCCACAGGTATTTCAGTGGAGGCTAGCTTGGGGGGGCTTTGTATTAAGGTAATAATGGATTTTCTTACAAAATATACCATCATTGCCAAAAGCACAGTGAGGGTCTTAGACACTGCATCTGCAAATTTCTCTGTCGGAAGTCTGTGTTGCCTACTGTTTTCAATCAAGAAAGCTACCGCTGAATTTTGGCACTAGGACTACTACTGATGGCAGAAAAATAATTGTAAAGCACTGTCACCAGGAACAAGGAAAACAGAAATACTGCAGTAAACTCTGCCCAGCAAACTCGAGTGAAACAGATAGGGCTAAAATTGATCTTCTCTCGGAGCTTTCTGGTGTTTACCTGGGGAGGCTGAAATGGACTGGGCTGTTTGCCAAAGGCAGTAAAGAGGAGAGGAGTTGCTTCATCACTTCGCTATAGACACTCTGGGAGCAGCTATGCTCACGCTTCCCTTTCTTGCTTCCTGAGGCTCAAGTAGACCTACTTCCATAAGGAGTTTTCAGTTTCCCTGTTGGACTAGACTTAGCTTTTATTTCCCCACCCGGCTCCTCTATCTTTTTCCCTATATGCCAGTTCTCAACGTGTCAAAAATGTTCCAAAGATAAAGCTGCTCGCTGCCCCTCCATGCCCCAAATGAGGAGGCTGAGGGGGCCATACTAAAAAGTGATGGATAGAAACTGCCCTGGAATACTGGTGTCATTCCACAAGTTTGCAGAAAGGAAAGCAGACCTCTCTGGGCTGGGATGGTTCAGGGTTTGGCTCTCATTTTCTCCTGTGCTCGGCTGCTGCGTGCAGTTTCTAGGTAGCGCTTTGGAATAATGTAAATTGCTTTTCACACGGAAAGTTAGTGGGGGAAAGAAATCTTTCATGGCATCAGATGGACATCAGATGTATTAATTGTATTTTGGCTATTATAGAAATTACTGTAATTTCAGCTCGTGCTCTCGTGTGTATATGGCAGACAGCAGCTTCTCTGTCAGTAGGTCTGCTCTGTGAATGCAGGTGTACGACCCGAACATTTGCATTCGCTTTCAAAGGGGACTGGAGTGATAATGATTTACTGATGTATACTTGAGTGAATTTTAAGCTCAAACACTTACAAAACCGGATTATAATATACTCAGTGGTAGAACCTACAGTTGCTGCTGAACCAGTTAGCTACATAAGCATTTGCCAGGGACCAAAATCAATATTCAGAGCAAAATGCCATATAGCTGCCCACCATATCAGACAGCAGAGGCATCTGCGATTTTGCAAGAATTCATGAAGCAAGAGTTGCTTTAAAAATAGTGTGTTTCACTGCCAGTAATGCTTGTTGTGGCTTGTTCATGGGTGAATGAACAACAGGCTCCTTTTAATGACTTTTTTTTCCAATGTGTCTTATTTCTTATATGCTTGTGATCACTTACCCATGTGGTCTATGGTGCTGTAGCTCGAGGTCTTGCCCTTGGTCCAGCATTCTCAGCTGAATACAGCTATTTTCTTGCGCAAAGAATAGCTGAAAGTAAGGAGAGTGCTGTAGGAAGAATGAGGGATTTGATCATCTTGTGCACTTCTCCAATTGTCTGAATTACCTTTATATGAATTAATATTAGCTATTAAGTATAGTTAGGGTGTCTGTGGTAAAGTCCCTGTTCTGGGAAGCCGTATTTTACTGCTGTGCCTTTATACAGATTGATCCAAATCTCTGTGTCTAGTTAAGCCAAACATTAAGCTGATCTATAATTATTTATAGAATATACGTTCATAAGCATTTATACATGCCTGTTGGATACTAATAGACGTACTGGGAAAATTTCTCCATCCTGCCTAAGCTTTGGATTTGAA